GCGAGGAGACCGCGACTCGAACCCGGGCTCTTCCGGTCACAGATTAGTATAATTCAGATCAAGACTTGCTAAAAATTCACAAGAGAGTTCTGAAGATGAGTTACATCCATTTGTAAAGTCTGATTCTAAGTTACCAAGAGTTGTCCGAATGGCAAACCTCTGTGCTGCTGATGGGTATTCAGTAAAATTTAACATATGCCATTTGTTTATTGATTTAGGATTTCTCATCAGGATCCCTTAGGTGAAAAGGATACATAAATATAAGTGGCTGCTGCTAAATATCCTTGGAACTAATATATGTATGAAGATATGAACCAGTCAATGATTAAAAAAATAGAACAAGTCAATGATAAAAGTGAAGTGATGCTTAGCTACAGTCATGACTCAATCACCAGGGACATAAAGACACTACCACAAAAAAACTAGCTGGACCATCAACTCTCAGCCGAAAAATACAAGTGCAATATGCTAATCTGTTATATACATAAATCTTAGCATTTTAGATAGTCTCTCTGCTTTTTTATGCATGACGTTGGTAAGGTTGGTGAGCTCAAAATTGAATTAATCAACGTCATATATACAAAAACGGAAAGAGTACTTTAGTAAAAATATATCAGATTGTTCAATAATATACCTGTGGCATAATCTTTACAGTTGAACTATCTAGAAATTGGCAAATTGGTTAAAGCTTGTTTATCTCGGAAACAAATCATCTGCACTTACTTATGAAAATAACAAGGAATAGTTACTTGGTTGTAACATGGAATAGTTACTAGTGAAAATCCCTTTACTACAGCATGTGTGTGATGAGCAGGTACGACGCGTTTAAACTAGCCCAAATTAAATTGTTCACTAACAAGTCAAATTAACAGCTGTATTGTAGCCAAAAGAACACACAAAGCTAATTGAGCAACAAAAATCAAAGGGGTGGATCTTGTTACTAACCTTAAAGCAAAAAGATCAAGCCATTCTTCCAAATCCAAGAGCTAGCTTCATGGTGAAGAGCAGCCGCAACAATGGAGGGAGCAGCCCAAACAAGCGCCTCTGTGCTCGGGATGGAAGAGAGGAGGAAGGAGAGGACGGCACCAGCTTTTTGTACTGCAATTTTATCACCGTCAGTTCTTGGCTTGAACTGACAGTGATAGCACAAAATCACAATCGGCTCTTGGTTAGGACCGACAGTGATAAGTGGCCGCCAACTCACTGTGGTGCAAGCCACATACCGGCAGTGATGTGGTCCTTCACTGTCGGTTATAGCCCAACCCCAATCATTTTCTCATTTTCAAGCTCAGAACCCGCAGTGAAGATACATCACTGACGATTCTCACAAATCCGGCAGTGATGAGGTCGGCAGTGATGTCAAATCTATAGTAGTGTTTTAGATCATTCTCCATTAATGTTGCTTAGTTGACAAACATTCCTAACATCGCCCTAGTAATGAGAAACCCATCATTAGCTCAACTCTAGGATCTAAGCATACTAAGCATGAATTAATAAAGAAATTCAAGCAATGATTTAGTGTTGTGGCATCATCAAGGTGTGATAGCTCAAGTAGGTAAGTCCTGGTTTATCTAGTCTTATAGTAACTTATTGATGCAACAGATAACCATAGTTCATTATGCATTTAGCAAGGCATGGGGATACATAGGGGTCTGCCTTGGACATCGTCGTTAGGCTCGTCGGGTTCCACCGCTTGAGGTTCCTCCTCAACCACGGCCTCCTTGGGAATCTTGTCACCTGTACATGCATGATGCTTAATGAGTGCAATGCATAAGGTACATGCTATGAGATTTCATGCAATGATATTACTTAAATAAGGTTTGGTGATATATGTGCAAGTGTTCAAGTGTACATCATTGGACTATCGGTGTGAATCATCAGATAGTTCGGTGTGACTGACGGAACGTCCGGTGGTTTAGGGACTTAGTGAGAATAGAATACTAGGACCATCGTACTCTCCGCGATTAGGCACGGACTCTCTGGTACTAGATCTGTGCTTTCGGGGACCTTATCTAGGTTTGGATATAATTCAATGGAATGTTCTGTCAGGGTGACCGACCATCCGTCATGTTTGTCTGTAGGGTGCTAGTGCTGCTAAGTGTTCAGATTCATTGGAACATTCCGTAGGTGGTGACGGATCATCCAGTAGGAACTGGTCACGTTCGGGTTCCTTACTGACTCGGTTAATAATTTAGCGGACACTCCGGTGAGATTGACGGACACTCTGCTGGATTAAGTCTATAGCCTGGGCTATCTATCTCTGAATCATAATTCAACGGACACTCCGCCTAGTACGTCGGACTCTCCGGTGAATTATAGTGTGTTTATTTTAAGTGCAGACTGATAGATATTTAGTGTTGACGGACACTCCGCCAGAGTGGTTGGACCCTCCGTCAGGTCATTGACAGCGAACATTTCTACCAACTCAAAATCCAAATCTTCATCTATGGTAATTGGATGTCTAAATCATCACTAGGGTATGTTTCTAGTGTTCTATGGAGCATATCTAGCTAGGTGAATCTATCTACATTGGGTGCAAACTAGAGATAGGTCACAAATTGACATTTCCTAGGTTTTGGCTCATAAAAGTGAAAATCTAAGTTTTGCTTGGTTTGATCCATACCAAGGGCTCTCTCCCCCTTGGTGACTCGAAATCTTCTTGCTCCTTGCTTTCTCCTCCTCCTAGCTCTTTGTGGTGAGGGTGAGAGGGCTCCTCCCAACCCCAACCTCTTGTGGATGATAGCTTCTAGGTGATCTCCGTGGCTATCTCTTGTTGCTGCAACTCCAAATCTCCGCTCCTTTCCTTCTCCTTCCCTTCTCCTTCTTGCTTGAGTGTGTGAGAGAGAGTAGAGAGAGAGAGGGATGAACTTGAGAGAGAGTGGGAGAGCGGAAGTGAATGGGAGAGCTGGTGTGGCTTCTGGTTTGGGTGTTCCACGAGTTGGATAGCTGGTACGACAAGTGGGGCCAAGTGAAATCTTAAAGTGACACCTCACATCAGTTGCATGGGCTGGTATGGCGGATTGTCCGCAATTCTGGCGGACCATCTAGTAGCGTCGAAATTTAACCGACAGAGACTGATCTCTGTCAGGGTGTGCAGCTGAGTTGGCGGATAGTCCAGTGGTGCTGGTGGACCCTCTATCAAATCAAGCAGTGAGCATACTGAATGCATATTTCAGTGCAGTTTAGTTTTTATAATTTGAATTTCAAATGCAAAGATGATCGAGATGATGATGCTCACAGGTATGTCAAGACCGGGGCGTGACAATTTTCCACTTCATGCTTTCATGGTGTCATTGCTATATAAAAACACTTTAAGTTATTGGAGGGCCAGGGATGTAAGGACCATACAACCTATCATTCATCAAATGATAGACAGATTCAGTTTATTCCCTGAAAGGCACAAGAGAAGCCAGATAACTAGTCTTTTATAGGTGCACATAATTTCATTTTATAGTATGTAATGTCAGGCTAATAATTTATTTTTTCCTTGCTAATTAATGAGAAGATTTGACTTGCAAACAAATAGCAGACGTTAATAGATTATTGCTATATAAGGCCACATTAATTGCATCCCACATTTCAATGTTCATAGGCTTTTGAGGAACATAATGTCCATGGGCCAAGGCTAATAATCCAACTCTAATACAAGCCCAACAAGAGCCCACAAACTTCTAGGGTTTCCGCCCACCTACTATAAATACCGCTCCTTCCATATAGTATTCACACCTTTTCCCCATTCTCCATTTTCTTCATCTACTCCTCATATATTTTCTGTTGGAACAAGGAGCTCTACAAACATCAAGCTGGGATTTCTATCTACAGGGAAACACCACAGGTGAGAACTCATACATGCATGATGCATCAGCCTGATTTCTGAATTGCTCATTTGTACTCTCTGCTATCTAGTTCAGGGCAACAAGTAGATCAGTTTTCTTGAAATAGTTTCTATACTGTTTCTTTTGGCAACAATCAATCTGCACAAAAGTTTATCACCACCACCAACCATTCTTGAGGTCATGAGTTTTGGTTGTTTCCTATCTGTTTTCTTGTTCTGTGGAAACCTAGATTCGTTCTTTGAATGTCACAAGTGTATAACCTTATCACTAGGGCACTTTGGATAGCCTTATCCTGAGGCTTATTTTTTAGAAAGATGGCTGGGGATGGCATGCCATCCCCCTAGCTAGCGGCTGCAGGTATTGGGTTGAGCATGGAGGTAACACTGCTAGTCAACTGATGTCTGGTGGGGTCCAAGGGTTGGGCGACAAGGAGTAAGGTTCCAACAGCCAGGGTTGACAAACAGCAGAGAAGGGGGGGGGGGGGGGGCAGTCGTGTCGGGGTGGCTCACAGGAGTTGGATTTAGAGAAAGGTTGGCAGGGGCTGGTACGACCACACCTTTATGTGTTTACAATACTTTCTGCATCACTTTCTTTTTCTCAGAATTAGAACTCTTGATTTTAAACGTGAATACTTCTGTCTTAGTTCATTACATATGAGAACGCATCTTCTAGTTTCATCACAAGGAGAAACCAGATCTGGAGGGATTGGGAGAGAATAAAGTAAATATGGATTACAATGCATCTTCTCTCTCATTTGAAAATGAAATAAGAGACAATGAGAAGTTTTCTTCAAACTAATTTGAGACAAGAGACTGAAGAAAACATAGATGACAGTGCATCTTCAGTCTCATACGAAAATGAAAAAGAAAATATAGGAGACAACATGGTTCAACAGCTGGGTCTAAGACATTTTTTTCAAACTCTTTTTATATATGGAAGACAATGATACTGAAGAAAATGAAATTTGGGTCACCTTTCGATTCCCATAAAATTTAAAATTCCTCTTCTATATGATATATTTATAGAATCATTAAGTTCTGTTGATTGCAGTGTTGAATCCTCTATTTAATTTCTTTCCATCTTTGCAGTGTTGAATCCATCCAGTTCTGTTGATTGCATACCCTAAACCGAGGGAAGGATTGTTCTTCACAACACATCATATAAATGGAGCAACAAGCTGATTCTGTTACTACTGCGGTCCCTACTTCATTTACCACTGCAGTACCAACCCAAGCCATCAATCATTTTTGCAACAATCCTGTTCCAGACCCAATTCATCTCACAGAAGACAGAGAAATTATTGTTTGTGCCCTTGCTGCTCCTGACAATCCAGTTCCTGGTCCATTTGGTGCAAAGCGCAAACGTAGATCGTTCTGGACAGCATGTGCATGTTGCAAGACAAAGAACAAACATTCAATAGAGTATCTTGGTTGCGACATTTCTTGCATTCACTGCAGTGAAACATTCAAAGCCACTGAAGTATCAAGACCTCGAAACCAACATACAACCACTACAGAGAGTGTTCACTCTGGAGCAATTGTTACATCTCAAGGAACCATTTTAGAACCTAGCAAAATGACACCAACTGTGGAGACTCCTCTCCAAAAAAGGGTTAAAAGGGAGATCAATGTAACACAGGCTGATGGCAAACATGGAGACAATCTTCAGGGTAGCTTCGATGAACAAAAAACAAATACAATTGTGGAGCCTAACATTATTAGAGGAAGGGTTCATCATGAGGAGCCAGTTAGAATAAAAATTAGCAAGAGAATCACCGAGGATGAAATAAAGAAGTTTTTAATGTCCAAGGGCTGGAATAGGGTCACAGAAGCAACAATCAAAGGAAACAACATAAAACAATGAAAGTGAGAAGCCAAGCCCAAGGTAATATTTATATGTGTTTCAAATATCCTACTACTATTGTTTTAGGCATTTGTGTTACTTCTATTACAAATGGTTTCCTGTTTTAGTTTCATGGCTTAACAAGTCTAAACGAAAGTTCAGCAATATATATAAATATATCTTTATTTTACTGGTTGTCTTATTGGTGTATCTGTACAAATTATATAGCATTAGTGTTGTCCCATGAGTAAAATGCATGCATGATTTGCAAGCAAGCATGACAATGTTTTCTCTCTATGATCCTAATCAATTACTCTTATGTTACACTACTTACTTCACAATATGAAAGCCTGCAGCCTGAGACAACCACTAAGTACTTTCCACATCTCCAGACATGACATGTCTTATTGCTTTGTCATATTACAATTCTTGTTACGATGAATATTTTTTTTGTGGTATGAGCATGCATTATACTATTTTATGTGGTATGAGTATGAATTATGTCATCACATTAGACTCAATTTGCTATTTATCTGATACATTTGACACACGTTCTGGCTTCTCTAAAAATACGAAAGGCATTGATGCTGACCTATTTGCTTCAGAAATTTATATTGCATGGAACAACATTGCAAGAAATATATATATGATAGCTTTCATTGATACCTTTCAAGGAATCATATGCCCTGGTTATGATTATCTGCTGTAATTCTATAGCTAATTCTAGCTCACGTTTTATTTCTTGTGGTTGTTGTAGATGAAGAACACAAAGGCAGCCTACTGAAGGACCTGTGTGTTCTAATCAGTTCCAACATCCCAAGAAGTAATTCCGAATGAAAGATTTTGCAACAAGGAATGCTCAACTTTAGTTTCTGAATCAAAAACTTTTTTTTACATCCATTAACTTGGATTTTATGACAAGGTTTCTGTAGGGGGTATAAATGAATCTATTACCCTCGATTATGCTTTTGGATTTTTTTGGCAAGAACATTCTTAGGTGCTTTTGTCATGAGAAATGATTTCAGTTGATTGTCACAATTTTATACCTGCATGATACTAGTTGCCTCCAGTGGATCTCTTGTCGTTGATGGAGTGGATGGTGTGGTGTGCTCTTGTGGATCCTTTGTTGTGGTGGTGGTGGGGGGGGGGGAGGGCATGGTGCAAGTTGTGATGTCCAGGCTGTGGTAAAAACTTGCTCGAAACCTTCTCAAATTTTTACCACAGCCTACACATGCGATAACATGACACCTCGACAAGTTTCATGATTTTCGGACTTCGTATGGATTTTATATAATTTAAAAACACTTTTCCGACAAGTTCCTCGTCATGTTACGTGAAGAAGATGCCCGAAATTTGACGCGAGTTCGTGGATAGGGACTCAACATACACCAAATACCATGAATAACATTTTTTGAATCACTAAATTGCATTATTCCATCCACCTGCAGTTCAAATTTGAAATATTCAAAAAAAATCAACGAAAAGAAATAAATTAGGGAAAGATATCAAAAAAAGTCAAATTTGGCCCAAATTTTAAAATTGAGATTTAAATAATGTATTATAGCACCACAAAAAAAGCTAGGTTCAAAAACCAAAAAAAAACTCTTTGCCGAGGGTCTAGCCTAGCCCTTGGCAAAGGGGGTCTTTGCCGAGGGCCTGGCCAATGGCCCTCGGCAAAGAATATTTAAAAAAAAATAAAAAATCTTTGCCGAGGGCCCTGGATCTGGGCCCTCGGCAAAGGGCCCAGCCCTAAATCGGCCAGCGGCCCAAATTCCCCGCCCACAGACAAAAAAAAAATCTTTGCCGAGGGCCTAGCCTGGCCCTCGGCAAAGGGGCTCTTTGCCGAGGGCCTGGCCAATGGCCCTCGGCAAAGAGTATTTAAAAAAAATAAAAAATCTTTGCCGAGGGCCTTGGATCTGGGCCCACGACAAAGGGCCAAACCGTAAATCGGGCAGCATCCCAAATTCCCCGCCCACAGAACTTGACGCCTTGCTGCCCGCGCCCGCTTGCAGCGCCTGCCGCCAATGAGCCCGGCCGCCCCACCACCGCCGCGCCGCCTCCAGTGGTGTCATCCATGCTGCCGCCACGCCACCCCGCTGCCCGCCCCGGCCGCTAGAGGAAGAGGGAGGAGGAGCAGGCCACCGGAGGAGCCCCACCCTACCGCTCGCCTCAACCCGCCGTAGGTGCCCCGCCCCGGCCGCGCCGCCCGCCCATGCCCGCCCGCCGGCCCGCCCCGAGGAGGAGGAGAACCTCCGCACCATCCGTCGGCCACCGGAGTTGGAGGAGGACCCCGCGCCACCCGCCAACCCCGTCCACGCTGTCCGCCGTGCCCGCCCCCGTTCCGAGCAGAAGGTGGGAGAAAGGGAGGAAGAGGAGAAGGGGAATAGGAGAAGAGAGGAGGCCAAGAAGAGAGGAGGAGGAGGTGCCCTGCCCCGGCCCCTTGACGCCACCCCATCCGTGACCCTCGCCCCGTCCACGGCCTCCGACGTCCCTCCGACATCCAGGTATGCCCTTCCCTTGCTTCATGGTGTACAATGCTAGTGAAGGAGGAGGTCTAGGTGGAGGTCGAGGTGGTGGTGGCGTGCAATGGTGGAGGTGGAGAAGGAGGGTAGTGTGTTCGTTGAGGTGGTGGTGGTGTGGTCGTTGTGGTGGATGTGGTGGTGTGGTCATGGTCGTTGTGGTGGATGTCGTGGTGTGGTGGTGGTGGTGGTGGTGGTGGTGTGGTCATGGTGGTGGAGGTTGTGGTGGTGGTGGTGTGGTCGTGGTGGTGGTGGTGGTGGTAGTGTGGTGGTTGTGGTGGTGGTTGTGTGGTCGTGGTGGTGGAGGTGGTGGTGTGTTGGTGGTGGATTAATATATATCTGGCTATCGGCCATCGTGCCGTATTTGTTCCCTTGATATGTGGTTGTCGGCCATCATGCCGGTTTTTTCTTGTAGGTTTTGGAAACCACGGGGAGGTTCTGCCGAAATTTTCAACTTATAGTATTGTGTTTCTTGTTTTGCACAGAAGAGCACGTCAGAGGGGACTCGGCGACCCCGATCCTCATCGTCGGCGTTGCGGGTCTGCGCACAGCATCGCCTCATCACTGCCCCGACTCGCCACTGTCCCGCTAGCCTAACTCCACCGCCACCCTAGGTATAAATAAGCCCTCCTCCCGTATCATTGTCTTAGATCGCGTAACCTAGTTAGGCGTCTCCCGTCCAAAAGAGATACGGTCGTAGGTATGCGGATCTTTGCATATCTACGACCGTATCTGTTTCAGACTATCCACGTTTTTTGGACAGCCCGCGGATGCGTAGATGGGTTAGTTTCCATGGTCTGCTCCAGTTCGAGACCGAGTTTCGGTAGCTCTTCCCTGTTGTTCTCTGGATACACACTCTCCCTGGTAGGACATGTATCGGGAGAACAGCGGGGAGGTGCTACTGAAATTATGTCTCGGAGAGGAGCGGAGCCTGGAAACTGACCTCATCTACGCATCCGCGGGTGGGATTAGGACCTATCCTCACCTATTAGACATTAGGAACACCGCGTAGATGCAATTGATGGTCACAATACTCTGTGATGTAAATGTTAAAGGATGGAGGACCGTTAGTGGATGTACATGGGCTGGAGAAGTGGCAGTGACTACGACTATGAATGGGTGAAGGGGACAGATCGTTTCTTGAAACATGCATTTGGCCCAGGAGCAGGAGGACATTCTCTAGTTTGGTGTCCCTGCAGCAAATGTGACAATAGGAGAAAGGTAGACGAGAAGACCATGGGTAGACATCTTGTGTTCAATGGTTATACGCCTAGCTACCAGCAGTGGATCTACCATGGTGAAGCAGATCATATAAGAGCGGAGGTGGTGAGAGCATGCCTCGAGGCTTTTGATGATGATGTTGGGGAAGCAGACATGCTAGATGACGCCCACCAAGCTCACTTCGCTGAACGACGTGAGAAGGAGGAGATGGAGGAATCCGCAAAGGACTTCTACAAAATGTTGCACTCGGCACAGAAACCCCTTCACGAGTGTACAATGATTTCTCAGCTGGATGCGGTTGGACGCGTAATGGGGTTGAAGGCCGAGTTAAACCTGAGTCGAGAAGGCTTCGATAAGATGTTGGCCGTGTTTGGCACCATGCTACCGGAGAAGCACACTTTGCCGATGAACTTGTATGAGGCAGAGAAACTCCTTCATATGCTTAAGATGCCATATGACAAGATACATGTTTGTCCGAAGGGGTGCGTCCTATTTAGGAAAGAACACAAGGATGCTTGGAGGTACCTGGAGGTAGACTCTGGTGATGGTCAGAAAAAGCAGCTTCCGATCCCCGTGAGAGTGCTACGGCACCTTCCTTTCCTGCCGAGGATCCAACGACTATTCATGATCGAGGAATCCATGAACAGATGACATGGCACAAAGATGGCAAACGGTACAATCCTGGGAAGATGGTATATCCATCTGATGCTGAAGTATGGACGTACTTCAATGACAAACATCGTGACAAAGCAGCTGAGGCCCGTAATGTACGTGTCGCGCTGGCAACAGATGGGTTCAATTCTTATGGAATGATGGCTGCCCCATACACATGCTGGCCCGTTTTTGTTATCCCCCTCAATCTCCCTCCCGGCATCTCCTTTCAACGGCATAACGTATTCTTGTCGTTGATAATTCCTGGACACCCGGGGAGTAATATGGGTGTGTTCATGGAGCCTGTGATTGATGAATTGATCCACGCTTGGGAGAAGGGGGTATGGATATATGACCGAGCTACAAAGACAAGCTTCAAAATGCACGTTTGGTACCACTACTCCTTGCATGACTTCCTGGCGTATGGGTTATTTGCCGCCTGGTGTGTTCACGGGAAGTTCCCATGCCCAATATGCAAGGAAGCTGTGAGGTTCATTTGGTTAAAGAAGGGTGGCAAGTATTCGTCATTCGACCAGCATCATCAGTTCCTCCCTCTAGACCATGAATTCAGAGAAGACATCAAGAGCTTTATGAAAGGTGTCAAAGTGATAGACCCTAAACCGCACTTGA